GGCTAATCCAGTGAATGAAAAGCGCGATTGGCATCAGTTGCAAACAATTTGCGCTGCACTGATGGCCAGAGTTGTTCAAAAAAGGGGATGGATAGCATGGCTAGGATTGAAGGAGGCTAATGAAAAGTTACTCGTCAAAAGAATATTGCGAGCATCTATATCTTCTGCCTCTGCCTTATTAATGGTGTGGAAGCAATCTATCAAATTTCTTGAATAACAAGGGGGAATAGGCCAAGTTTTGCCAAAACCAAGTTGACGAGCAAAAAATTGGGGAGCATATATTTCAACCCCAGCTTTAGCATTAGTTCCAGTCAAAATATCATGGAACAACTCCCTCCCGATCAAAAATTGAACCCAAACGAGCAGAGAAGTGCTCGCATTGTCTAGGGTAGATGGGGGATGCACATAATCAGGAGTTAAAAAGGGAGGAAAAGGAAAGAAAGGAGGAGTTGAATTCAAAGTATAAAAGAATGAAAAAATGTCCCTTCTGGACATATGTACGGGCTCAATGGGTCAATAGCTAGCCCATAGTAGCTAGCAGAATGAAGGGAAAAAGGATAGAGCACCAAGTGAAGGTGCCACGCGATTTATGCAACGTGATTTTTAAATCGCAAGTGTACGGTGTCAAGTTTTGTAATATAGTTTTGAAGAAGGATGTCGAACCCACAGGGATTGATATTCGACTTCCACTGAGTACTATAATTGTGTCCGCGTTTACTTTATCTAGACAATCGGGTGTTAAATTAATGTTTGAATACTAAATTAACGTCAATGAATTAAATAGTGCAATAAAAGTGAGGCAATTTCTAAAGATTAAATCAAATTTACATAATGTCTAGGGAATGATTTCACCATATTCTCGACATAATTCTCAATTCCTATTGATATTTCCATCAAATATTTCCCAAATTCATAAGCAAGAATCCTAAATTAATTCTATTTCCCCCTCTCGAGCGTCAAATAGAACCTATCTCTATATTTTAACCCCAATATCTCTATTCCGAATTAAATATATAAAGATTATCACGTACTTGGTTCTTGTTTTACCCTCAAAGATTCGTACTTTCTCTCGAAACCTACAAACCTAGGTTATATTGTTCTTAAATCACGCCTAAATTTTCCTCTCTTGAGCGTCAAATTTAGAACATCAATTCATTCAATTGGTGATCAGGCAAAAGAAAGCTTTAAGCAAGAACAATACAAATTCAATTCTGGAAAACTAAATGGAAATACTATAAAGAAATTGAATCATGTCTCAAATAGGTTATGTCAAACCCTAGATTCAATAACTTAGTTCATGATTGAGAAGAAGAAAATGATAAGATACAAATTAAATTGCATGAAGGAGAGAAAGGTAAGAAAAAAACTCAGGTTGTTGCTCTATTTCTCAATCTTGTGGCTTGATTTCTCAGTTTCTCCCTTCTTCTTCTCCAAAATCGAGTCGATCTTCTCTCAATTGGTGCCTCTCTTTCTCTTGCCTCTTCAGCCGTCTAACCCCCTTCTCTTGTTCTTCAGCTGGGTATTTATATTTTCTAAGGGTCCTCAAGGGTTAGGGTATGACTTTTGGGCCGAAAAGATACTTAAAAACCCGGATTTTAATGTTTTGGAAACGGGCGCCATGGCGCCCAAGTCTCTGCCGTTTTTCTCTTCGTTGGGCGCCATGGCGCCCAATGTTCTGCTTCTTTTTTTCTTCCTTGGGCGCCATGGCGCCCAGGTTTCTGTTGGCTTTTTCTTCGATACCATGGCGTCAATGCCACTGCTTTACTCCTCTTCTCTTTGTTTTTCCAAGCCTATTTTCCACTCCAATCTTATTCAATACTTGCTTATTCATGCTCCATTTCATTGATCATCATTTTTGCTCATCACCGGCTCCCAATAGTGGTATTTTCTTGAGAGTTGTCCAAACTGCAAAACAACATTAACACACACGTCAAAACGTTCAAAAATGCTCAAGAACACATCAAAAAAAACTTGATTTAGAAGATATAGTTTAATGAGTGAATTACACTCATCAAACACCCCCAAACTTAATCTTTTACTTGTCCTCGAGTAAACACAAAACTAAAGATAATTATTAACGAGCACAAAAACACGACTAAGATAGACAAAGTCACTCAAGAGAAACTTTATGTTAGACACCTTGCATTTATTGCTCAAGATTAAGAACGCAGCGTCAAATTCATGAAGTACTTCAAAACTTTAATGCAGGCATCAAATCCTCGCTCATTCAATGCAAACGGGTGTGTGTGTGGAAAATTAAGCATAACGCTGTACAATAATAAGTTGACCCAATTCCCGACCTTAGAAGTCAAATTTTTCCTTACTTCGCTCGTGGGATTCACACACCCTCAAACTTATTTTCTTTTCTCTTTCCAAGGGTGTAACCTAAGGTTAAATTTTCAATACTAATTTCTTACACCACTCAAGTTTGGTTAGATTTTACTGATTGTAGTTCCACATGTCAACAAATGAGAATTCTCCTTATTTTTGATTACTTCAACCTCTAGGAATCAACCGAATTACTAACCTCTTATCAAAGGTCTAATCCTCTAAAACAAATGTTCGGGGCTTAATCAAGGCATTTGATATCTATTTTTTTCTCTTTTTTTTTATTATATATATATAAATGTATTCTTTAAACACTCTTTGTGTGGACGTCACTCCCTTAAGCTTTCTAAATGACCCTTGTAACGAGCTTTAGGCTGATGACTCCCAAATTAGACGACTTTAGGGCACCAGGTTTGAAACCTTTACAGGCTTAATTACTCGAATCATAAAGGCTACGAAGAGATGATTCACAATGAGATTATTAAAGTTGTCCTCATTGGGATCTTTTTTATGCAATGATTAGTGCAATGCCCCTTATTAAACACATATTCTCGAAAATAGACCTCTAACTTAAAGTCTTTACCCAATTTTCATCCTATTAGTCTCAGACAATCCACACAAAATTTAGCACGCATGGAATCCATATTTATCTCCAAGTTTTCCTGCAACAGCTTAATCTACCAAACAACCTAAATTTGGTTTAAGGGTATAATAATGTTTAAAGGTTGTTTGGGTTTAGCATCTAAGTTCTCTCATTCAACGTATAAACATGGACCAACCTACTCATGTACAACGCTACAATCAACCCACGTGCAAAAATAATTTTCGTTTCACACGAATAAGCAAAAATCTAACTCACACAAGTAACTTATCCATAATCCATGAACCAATACATGTTCTTAATATTATACATCATTGCCGGCAAAGCTATCTAACTCACACAAGCATGCAAAACACGAAAAGAAATTTTTTTATTTGACAATGTACACAAATAAAAATTAAATAAATAAATAATAAAAAAATAATTTAAAAAAAACACACAAATCAAAAAATTTGCACCCAAATCAGACAAAACCAAAAATTTTGGCAATTAGACAATTTATAATACACTCTCCCCAAACTTAAACTAAACATTGTCCCCAATGTTAAATTAAAAGAAAAAGAGGACTTTCCTAAATTGTCTGAATTGCCAACGATGATTTGGTGCACTAATGTTGAATTTGATGGACGTTTCTTCTAACTTTTCCCCCAAACTCGAGATTTATCCAGCTTCTCCTTTTTCAATGTTGTTTGATTGATCTACGATGTCATGTTCCTGAAAAATCACAATGTAGATATTAAGCTCATGGAACAAGTGGTACTTAGCTCAAACATCGATAACCAACTTGATTTTTCAAAAACCTAAGGGACGGGTATGGTTGATGAATTCCTAAATAAGAACTCTGAAATAAAATAAATTATCCTAAAATTCAAAAACAGAATAAATAAATAAAGATGAAAGCTTGGGTTGCCTCCCAAGAAGCACTTTTTTATAGTCACTAGCTTGACTCAACCAAGGTGTCTATGGTGGATCTTCGGGTGGAGCATCTTTCTTATTTCTGAATTTTACCCTCGGTTTTGCATTCTCCTTCACCGTAGCATGGCCAATAAAATCAGGCGGTTTGAACCTCGATGTAGCCTTCAAAACCTCTTTTGGTTTGACAATGTTTAGAGGTTTCAAAGGCCTAGCCACATAGTCTTCTTTTTTGTCAGGTAGATCAGCTTCTTGGGTGAATATGAAATCCACTACTTCTTCCGCTCCCGAGTATTTGCCATCAGTAGATGCATCCCTTACTAAGTAATTGAGAGCCATATATTGTTTCGAAGGGTCATAGAACACTTCCTTTTTTTTCTCTGTGACCTAAAACTGCTTCAGCCGATTGGACCATATTGCAAATGTTGACTTTTTCTTGAGGCTTTTCTACTTGATGGATGTTGAAAGTCACAGGCTCTTCATTAACCCGCAGTGTCAATTTTCCTTCCTGGACATCAATCAATGCTCTTCCAGTAGCTAGAAAAGGTCGACCAAGAATCAACGGTATTTCCTCGTTCTCCTCCATGTCCAACACCACGAAGTCCACAGGAAGGATGAACTTATCGACCTTCACCAATACATCTTCAATCATGCCTTTGGGATATGTGATCGATCTGTCCGCCAGTTGCAAAGTGAGGGTTGTGGGCTTCACTTCTCCAAGACCCAGCTTTTTGAACACTGATAGGGGCATCAAGTTTATACTAGCTTCAAGGTCGCACAGTGCCCTATCAAATGTGATACCACCAATATTGCACGGGATGTTGAAGTTACCCGGATCTTTCAATTTGTGAGGGAGCTTCTGAAGTATGTCACTACACTCCTCTGTTAGCTTAATTGTCTCGAACTCCTCCAGCTTCTTCTTATTTGACATCACTTCCTTCAAGAATTTGGCGTAGTTAGGCATTTGGGTCAAAGCTTCTACAAAGGGAATGTTGATGTGGATTTTCTTGAAGACTTCCAGGAATTTTGCAAATTGGTCATCAAATTTCTTCTTCATAAAGCTCTGCGGGAATGGTAGTGGGGGCTTCAAGATTGGTGGGTTGTCCGGAAATGAGATCGAGTAAGGCTTATAGATCTTTATACCTTCTGCCTCAGTTTTCTACCTTTCACTCTGCCTTTTCTCTGTAACTATGACATCCGACGTAGGCACCACAATTTTCTTAGGTTTGCTTTCTTCAACCATTTTACCACTCCTTAGGGTGATCACATTGCAGTGTTCCCGTGGGTTAACCTCAGTGTCACTGGGAAATTTTCCTTTTTGCTGAGACTTCATTGAGGTAGCCAATTGGCCAATTTGCACTTCCAGATTCTTCATTGTAGCTCCCATGTTGGACACATGTGTTTCAATATTATCTAACCGTAATTCATTTTTGTTGAAGCATGATCTTGTCTCAGAAATGAACGTCCCAAGGATGTCTTCCAAGGGTGGTTTCCCATCAGATTTCTGAGTGTTGAATCCGGGTGGATGTTGACGTGTGTTTCTATTGTTGCCATATGACAAGTTCTCGTGATTCCTCAGCCCTGGATGATAGTGATTAGCTTGGTAGCTTCCTCTTTGATTGTAGTTTCTACTGTCGACATATTGGGCCTGCTCGTTTGCAACATCTGGCTCTTGGTGTGAAGAAGAAGTACTCATGACTGAATCTATTTTCTGTTGGTTTCCTTGAGTGGTAAGCGTGACTATCTGATTTGTGAGTGATGCAACCTGAGCTGCTAGTGCGGTGATGGGATCCACTTCATGAAGTCCTGCTACTTTCTTTACACTCGATCTCTCACTTGGCCATTGGTAATTGTTCGTGGCTATGTCATCCAATAAAGTATATGTAGCCTCTGCTGTTTTAGCCATTAAAATGCCTCCCGCAGCCGCATCTACCATAGTCCTTGTCTGCCCATTTAGCCCATTATAAAATATCTCAATTTGCAATCATTTCTGGAACCCATGTTGAGGACATCTCCTAAGCAAATCTTTAAATCTTTCCCAGGTTTCATAGAATGGCTCAAAGTCAAGTTGTTTGAATTGGCTAATTTCACCGCGAAGTTGAGCTGATTTAGAAGGTGGAAAGTACTTGGTGAGGAATTTCTAAGCCAAATCATCCCAAGTTGTAATTGAGTCATACGGTAGTGATTGGAACCAAGCCTTTGCTTTATCCTTTAAAGAGAATGAGAATAGGCGGAGTCTAATTGCATCTTCAGTAACCCCATTCATCTTCACCGTGTCACAAATTTCCAAAAAGGATCCAAGATGAGCATTTGGATCTTCTACTGCAGCACCCCCAAACTGATTTTGTTGAACCATATGTATCAACCCTGGCTTCAATTCGAAATTGTTTGCAGCAATTGCAGGGCGTGCGATACCGGAATAGTTGTCATTGACAACCGGCCTTATGTAGTCCCGAATAGCCCTTTGTTGGTTATCCTCATTGGCTGCTCTAACATCCTGTTCTACCATTGCTTCTCGTTCGTTTCTTTGTATGCCTCTGAGAATGCGAAATGTACGTTCTGGTTCAGGATCAACAGGTAGTAGATCTAGATTTCTCGCCCTTCGCATAAACAGCTGAAAATAATCAAAAGGAAACTTTTAAAGATAGACACAAAAAAGAGTAAATTAAAATAAAATTTACGGTAAAAATAAAAATCTAGAGTAAAATGAACGCCGATTGGTAATAATATCAATTGAATTCGAATGAATCAATCCCTGGCAACGGCGCCAAAAACTTGCCACGCGATTTATGCAACGTGATTTTTAAACCGCAAGTGTACGGTGTCAAGTTTTGTAATATAGTTTTGAAGAAGGATGTCGAACCCACAGGGATTGATATTCGACTTCCACTGAGTACTATAATTGTGTCCGCGTTTACTTTATCTAGACAATCGGGTGTTAAATTAATGTTTGAATACTAAATTAATGTCAATGAATTAAATAGTGCAATAAAAGTGAGGCAATTCCTAAAGATTAAATCAAATTTACGTAATGTCTCGGGAATGATTTCACCATATTCTCGACATAATTCTCAATCCCTATAGATATTTCCATCAAATATTTCCCAAATTCATAGGCAAGAATCTTAAATTAATTCTATTTCCCCCTCTCGAGCGTCAAATAGAAATATCTCTATATTTTAACCCCAATATCTCTATTCCGAATTAAATATATAAAGATTATCACGTACTTGGTTCTTGTTTTACCCTCAAAGATTCGTACTTTCTCTCGAAACCTACAAACCTAGGTTATATTGTTCTTAGATCACGCCTAAATTTTCCTCTCTCGAGCGTCAAATTTAGAACATCAATTCATTCAATTGGTGATAAGGCAAAAGAAAGCATTAAGCAAGAACAATACAAATTCAATTCTGGAAAACTAAATGGAAATACTATAAAGAAATTGAATCATGTCTCAAATAGGTTACATCAAACCCTAGATTTAATAACTTAGTTCATGATTGAGAAGAAGAAAATGATAAGATACAAATTAAATTGCATGAAGGAGAGAAAGGTAAGAAAAAAACTCAGGTTGTTGCTCTATTTCTCAATCTTGTTGCTTGATTTCTCAGTTTCTCCCTTCTTCTTCTCCAAAATCGGGTCGATCTTCTCTCAATTGGTGCCTCTCTTTCTCTTGCCTCTTCAGCCGTCTAACCCCCTTCTCTTGTTCTTCAGCTGGGTATTTATATTTTCTAAGGGTCCTCAAGGGTTAGGGTATGACTTTTGGGCCGAAAAGATACTTAAAAACCCGGATTTTAATGTTTTGGAAACGGGCGCCATGGCGCCCAAGTCTCTGCCGTTTTTCTCTTCATTGGGCGCCATGGCGCCCAATGTTCTGCTTCTTTTTTTCTTCCTTCTGCTGGCTTTTTCTTCTCTTTGGCGCCCCTTTTTCGGCGCCGTGGCGCCAATGCCACTGCTTTACTCCTCTTCTCTTTGTTTTTCCAAGCCTATTTTCCACTCCAATCTTATTCAATACTTGCTTATTCATGCTCCATTTCATTGATCATTATTTTTGCTCATCACTGGCTCCCAATAGTGGTATTTTCTTGAGAGTTGTCCAAACTGCAAAATAGCACTAACACACACATCAAAACGTTAAAAAATGCTCAAAAACACATCAAAAAAACTTGATTTAGAAGCTATAGTTTAATGAGTGAATTACACTCATCAGATGGAAAATAGGCTCTCAACCACATTTTAGTGAACCAAAGAGACCCACTGCCAGTGGGAGATGCACCACTCTTCAATTGGAATTGAAGAGAAGCCATGTCTCTATAGAGGGCAACCAAAAAGAAAGAACACAAATTCAGAGGCCTACCACGCGTCAATTCGTGCGCTATGGTTAAATAGCTCATAGAAGGCTTCAGGCTTGGCACACACAAAATATATTTACGAAGCCAAATCTGAAGAAAGGCCACACGCTCAGCGCTCGAGTGATTATAACAGCTTTGCAGGCTTGATTAGGACTCGGTGAGTTTTTTGTCAAATTTTGGTGCGACGCTAGAAATCAAAATACCAGGGAAAATGGTATCGCCCAAAGGTGGCAGATTTACTGAGGCCTCGACATTCCTTAAAGTAATGGACATGGGACCAAGGGGGAAAACAAAAGTATTATACTCAGAAGACTAAAAACTTAAAGCAATAAGGAAAAGCACTGGATCAAAAGTAGGGGGTTGAAGAGAGATTTCTAGCAAATCAGAAATCCTAGCACTATCAAAAATTGCCTTGATAGGACCATGATCCACAAGGCGAGCATGTCACCTACGAAAAACAACATCAGATTTAGGCCAAGTGCGAATACTTCTTTCGCGAAGCGGCCTCAGCGGCAAAGAGTTCAGAAACGGAGGGCCTTGAGTACAAGGGAACAGTTGGCCCACCGCCACTTGTTCGACAGCCTCGGCTTTGTTGAATGAAGGACCTAGATAGAACTCTTTGAGTTCGGCATTGGCTGGTGCAAGGAAGTTCGGAGTTATATATGATCGAGTGAGGATTTTCTGGAAGTCTTTGAAACTGAAAGAGTCACCAGATTGGGATTGTGAAGCAGCCATTAGGAACGAAATAAAGTTTTGTTGAAGTTTGCTTGAGAAACGTAGAAGAGAAGCAAAAAGATAAACAGTAATATTGTGAGAGAGAATCACAGAACAATGATGCGTGATTTAGTAGTGCGATAAAATGGCGTGTATTTGGGGGTTATAAGGGTTTGCAACGTCGCACCTTTTCAGGCTATGGAAGAAAATAATGATTGAAATTCTTGAAAATTTCAAATATTGCTGGGAAACACAAAGTGAATATGGCAAATAATTAATAATTGATATTAATTCTGCCTTATTGGGGGGTAATTGTTGACACGCTAAAAGTGCAGCCCAATTCGAATAGCCCAAAGAATGAAACCCAACTGGGCAATTCAGGATAAAGGCCCAAATAGGGTTATTAATCAATGCAGTGGAAGTCCACGAACGCGGTAATACCATCGCCCAAACTTGCAAGACGCCCAAGATCTGAGCGAATCAAGTGCCTTGCAGTCGCCCAAAGTTATGACCCTGTTCTCGCCCAAACCTTCAAATCGCCCAGGATCTTAGCAAACATAAGATATTATGGTTATCCAAAAGTGCAGTTATCGAAGCAGTTATTGGGTAATCTTATCACGTTCCACGATTCAAGGAGTTCAGTTGAAGACGGTTGAACGACAAAGAGTAGTGGCAGCATTTAGAGACAACAGTTCCACGCTAAGTTGGCTATCATGAAGAAAGTTGACAGTTATAAAGTAATTAAGCAGTTTTTAAGCGGTTGATCACAAAGAGAGCATCAAGGGAATATAAAAGGAAGAAAAGACATAGAGCAAAGACCCCGAATCAAACACTCTCAAACAGAGAATATGTAATTTCAATTCCTTAGTTTAGACTCAAAACATTTCTTTTTAGTACTCGTGCGCTTACGCCCCTTGGAGGCATTCTGTTTAAATTCCAATTGTAAAGTCATCACCAATAAAACACCCCTTTTTGGAACTTTGTCTCAAGAGGTTTGTTCCTTTCACAATCGTCTGATTCCTTTTTAATTGTTAGCGACAACCCGCGCGAAACAATGAGAAATTGTTCCATTCTAAAATCAATTAATTAAGTTTAAATGTCATTATATAGTATTTATAAGTCGATCACATAATATTAAAATTATGAATCCTCTAGTCCCACATATAAATTCATTTAAATGTTTGTGTATGCATTATGCAATAACGTTGTAAAATGAAAATCATATCCATGATTTTTGTTTCTTCCCCATTTTCAAAATGATATAAGCAAGCAAGATTTTGAAAAATGTACACTGTTAAGAAAACTAAGTCACCATACTCTAATGTTTCTCTACCAGCTGTCAACAATCTCTGAAAGAGAGATGACAAACCAACATACAATCAATCTTTTCTAGATACAAATTTAACAATCATGGGCCAACTTTTCATTAATTCATTATTTTTTAGATTTTTTAGTCTTAGAGTTGTCTCGACTTGTAGCCCAAATGGTAAATACACAGGAGTTAAAATTACACTAATAAAAAAAAAAACATGGTTTTGGTCATGGATTTTATGTTCATCAATGCTCTTCCATCTTATAAGTATTAAAGTACATGATTGTAACTCATTACTATAAAAACGTATTTATGACTTGAAGTTTACTTTCACTTTATGCATTATATATTTCAATTGTAAACACATAGTAAAACGAAATATCACAATTTCTACTTTCAATTGTGTGATAGCTACTATTGAGATTTATGATGCTCTTAGGTCCGTGAGTCATTATTGTGCAAAATGTGATGGTAAAATTGGGAAGAAAAAGAACAATGAGATCGACACACAGAATTTGTAAATGTGTCTACGTCCACTAGTTTATGACACGCATAATT